GATGAAATATAGCCCTATAACGAAACGCCCTCAGCAGAGATGAGCCGAAAAACGATGCAAGCTGCGATGTTTGTTCTCCAGTAATATATATCGCATTGTATCCCACATGAAGTCAAAAAGTGCGTTTCAGTTACCCTTGCAGATAGAGGAGCATCAGTGGCAATGTGCTTCTCTATTATCTCTTGTATCTCTTTTTTACGATGCCATATGTCTTCAGTATAATACACGAAGGTCCTGGGCTGGGTGCGCTTTCGTACTTTCGCACCATGTACGGGGTGTAAACCTCGCCGTTGTCGGGGGGCAGCTCATTTGTCAGCCAGCAATCTGTACGGCAAATAGTTAGGTATTAGTAGGTATAACATACATATACAAAATGGGTGTACTTTGACTCTACTATTTATACCACTGTCGAAATATCTCCAACCCACAACTAGGCAATTTATTCTTTTTTATTTTTTTTTTCAAGAGATGCGCACGGGATATTTGAAAGCTGCAGTCAAAACACATGGCGTGTAACGATGTTTTGGTACTATTAGGGGTTGCACACTGTCATTAAAAAATTTTTTAGTAAATTATGTTTGGTTTGTAGTCACCTACATCTTCAGCTTTTTATTTAGTTTTGTATTTATTCTCAAATAAACTGATATTATTATTTTCTTCTCTCATAATTTACCGTGAGTAGAACTAAATATTTATCAGAGTCTATCAACTGTAAACAGAAATTTTGTCAAATTTTATCAGATGTATAATAAATACAAATACCCATTTTAATAAATTTAATGTCTCTTTCTCGCTTCTTGTATCACTAAGAAAGAGGATTAGGTGCACTTACACGAGTTGTAATCGTATATTAACACCATTACATGCCCTACTACCAGATAAAATCACGACAGTAAATATATGTGTTCGTGGTGCCAAGCCCTGGAACGTGATAAGAAGTCACAGATGCTGTGGATGGGGATAATATAAGGGTTCGGACGTCGAGTCGGTGTACACCTACGCGTATTTATGTGTATTATTTAAATGCACCCAAAGGAGTCCTTCGGCCATCCACATCCAACGTATAGTACGTATTTATGGTGTCTGTTTGTGCACGCATATGTGTGTGTAAGAGTGTAATATAATATATGACTCCAGTCTGTGTTTAAAGTTAATCATGGCAGAGTCAATTAGCTTTGCATGAATAATACATGACATCATCACTTAAATACAGTACGAAGGTTATTTTTTATTTTTTTTTAACCCTTTTCATTTGAACAACAGTTAAAAATCTTGAAAACTTGTATGAGTTTCTTTTAAGTTGGTAATGTCGTATTAAAAAAATATCATAAATCAAAATAGCATTATTGATTGAACTTTGCTCTGACAATGCCGTTAATTCCAGCATTTTAACATTTAAAGGTAATACCATGGTATCTTCAGAACATAACAGGATGTATGTCTCTTGCCTCTTGTAACAGAGGGCGTTACTAATTGTATTGCCCAGTTTTCCGTTTGGTCCACCAAAATGTACAACATGTACATACTAATCTTTATTAAAAAAAACATGCATATGCCATCCCGTTGGATTACTTTGAAAACTAAAAACAGCATTGAAATATCAAGGTTCAATATTTATATAAAACAATGAGTTTGATAACAGATTTTAACAACTATATATTTAATAGATTACTGTTTAACAGAAAGTAATAAAAAAATTTAGTTCACGGATCTATAAAAATTCATATATTTTTACCAAGTTTAATTAATTTTTATAAAAAACCTTTTTTTTCCTTATAATATTTTTAAAGTCACCAAGTTATTTAATGTTATTAAAACTCAGGTTAAAAATTTCAATGAGTTTTAATTTTTTTGGACAGTCTAATTAGGATTTGATATTTTGATTAAAATGAGTATCGTTTTAGTTGAGCTACGTAACTTGAAAATATTTTTATATTAACATCTATAAAATCTATTAAATTTATAATAGTTATAAAAGTTAAGTAAAAATTTTAAGAAGGCGTTTGAATTTCCATACTTGCGGTTCTTGTAGTATAACTATGTAACAGTAAATAAAATTAATATATTAGTTTACAAAAATTTTAGTTGGTTCAATAAAATTTCATGTTTTAAATACACAATTCAAATTGCAGTATTTAATTGTAATTTAAGTAATAAAATTATTAAATTTAATATAAATTATTCTTAGAAATATTAAATTTCAGTATTTTTCTAGTACTGCAGAACAATTTAATGAAATCTAGTAAAACAAATTTAACCCTTAAAAATATTTTTCATTCCCAAAATCACTTCTCAGGTGTGTATACATTAAAAAGGAAAGTTGTAAGCATAAATATGCACACTAACAAAAGCACACGGAAGTATTGCGTGACAACAAAGCTATTTCGCAACGCGATCACATATCCTCCGTTTTCGTTCTTGATAAGCTACGTGTGTATAGACATATAATACACCAGGGAGAGAAAGATAGAGTCTCTCCAACAATATTGACATAACAGTCTCTTAGACCCCATCCCGCCTGACCTACCCTGCCTTCTACAAACCTCCCGTTGCCAAGGTGACCATGAAACCGGCGTTTCACGGGGCTGGCTGCAAAGAGAAATGTACTCACCCTCTTCGAGAACGTGACAAAGTCCTCTCGCATTTTGTATCGTGAGTGAACTTTAGTGCTTCGATTTCGTAAGGAATCATTTTCTTTTTTTGATTATCCTGTGGTGCTGATACACTTAAGGACACAATTTTAACACAAAGCATGTAAGTATTTTTCATTGAAATTTCATAAAAAGTATCTAAAAATTAATTTTTATTAAAAACAAGCTTCATGTATACAAGAAAATATATCTGATGGTTGAAAATGTGGGTTCCTAGATGGGACTCATCTTTAAAATATTGTAAAAATTCGCATAGAAGGAGTCGCCACGAATACATATGGGAGTAACATAAAAGATAAGATAAGAAAATTATAATTAATAATAATAGTAATTGCAACAATTTTGAATAATAGAATATTATAGCAAATATTATGAGATTCTTGGTAATTTGAAAAAAGACCTGAAGTCAAATAATGACTAAATTTTATTCGCACGTGCATCAATACTCTACTTGTTAGATAAAATCAATGTGTCACCAAAAGCTCTTAGCAACAACAACAATAGCATCTACAGCAACAACCCAATCGGATTTTCAATTTTAGCCTCTTGTTCTTCCCATCTAGGGGAGTCCCACAGGTAATACGCGATCAAAGCATCCTAGCGGCATATTCAAAGGATATATTCAGCGTATATGCGCCAAATTGCTCCGGCATGGCAGTAGGCGTCACTGCCAATTTTCGACTAATATGTCAGAGAGCGGTCACACACCTACCCTTGTTTGAGGTCGCGCTACACGTACTGCGTGTACAACCGCGATTGTGCACCCCGTATAGAGTTCGAAGGAGGAAACGTAATTCAGCCAAGTTATATTGGTTCGACAACGTACCACACCCATGACCGTCGAACATAATTAGTCAGACACGATCTTGGCGGTTCCCTTAAGCACACGTGTGCTTGTTACCCGATATACATTGCTTGCACTTATTTCTCGTTATCATGTACATTGGATGATTGGAGAGTTGTTGTATTAACTTGATTTTTGTGAAAAAGTATCGAGTTGAGCAGTGCTTAATTAATTTTTGATTTTCAAAAACTGCAAAAAATCTTTTCTTATCAAAAGTTCTTGTCAGCACTTTTCGTCTAAGTGCCCAAAATTTTTTGGTAATAGTATCGTTAAGGAAGTATTGCCACTCCATGACACTTAAATATATG